GCGCGGGCGGGCGGGGTGGGGGTGAACGGGCGCTTCGGAGGAGGTGCGGCGACAGGAAAAGCCACCCCCCCGGCTTCTTTGAAGCAGTTTCTTCCTGGGCTGGATGTTAGAGGTCCATCGTAGCTCTGAATGATCCCTAAACAAGGACTACAGGAGCTTCCTAGGGAAAACACACTGACTAAATGCTCCTCATCCAATTCCTGTTTTCACCAAACAGAGATAAGAGAAACATCTGCATGAAATTTTGTGGCTACACTGCTGGGCAAGACCTAGAACTAGAGAGACTGCAGTCAGGTGTCTTTAATGCTAGTTGTAGGGTAAAAATAAAGTTTTGGGAATGGAAAATAGAATCTCTCCCCCCCCTCCCCCCCCGGCCGGTCCTTGAAAAAGTGTTTCTGCTTGAAACTGGTCCCTGGTACAAAAAAGGTTGGGGACCACTGCGTAAGAGATAGTAATGAAGATGTATTTGATGAAAACAATCAGAAGGCTTTGAGATTTACATTACAGTTTTCTGACATTTCCTTAAGCTTTTTTTTTAACTCAGTAATTACCAGTAAATCTAAATATCTATAAAATATCTTCTAATACTTCCAACAATGGGACTTATATATCAACAGATGTATTATCTTTACAACTTTTCTCATTAAAATATATGAGGTTATAGAGGTGTCATGCAACCCTTAAAAATAACAACAGGCTAATCTGAATAGTTCTCTCAAAATTTCTCATTTTCCCCATCCTAAATTATTTTCTACATTAGTTGGTAAATTTGGCAAAAAAAAATCATGGAAACCCATACCCATTTCCTTGTATGTTTTCCTAATATACATATTTTTGTCTAAGGTTTTTCCTTCCATATACCTTTTTGAAAGGTATATTTCATCCTTAAAATACTTTGTTTCTGTTCATTCTTCCTCAATATATACATTTTTACATGCATTCCTATTAAGAGTAATTCTTGTTATGACGTGGTATATTATGTTTTCTATAGTCATTTTATACCTGGGTGACTGAGAATTTTAGTCACAGCTTTAAATCTGGTGGTTAGACCGACCACATGTTTACACTGGCATGAATTTTAAAAATGCTTGATAAGTATTCAAATGCAGCAAATGAGGCACCCTCTGTGGATTAATGTGCACTCTCCAGATTGACCAATGAGGATGACAACAAGAAACAGAAACAGAAACAAAAGTAGACAGTGAAGTTCAGTGATTGAACAATTTTAAGACCCCATGCCAGAGACCAAACGCCTGTTTGGTCATTTGTGCTTCCATTTGTAGTTACTTCAAGGGCTCATATATGCCTCATTCCTATCTATGTATTATAATTTCTGCTACTTCCCATTCAAAATGAAAAAGGTCTTCAGCAGTCCTGACATAAGCCTCAGATTAAAAATCAGGCTTGTCAGATTCTACATCTTTTCTATCCTCCTCTATGGAGTGGTGAGTTGGTCTCTGACAAAAAGCCACTTGGAAGGACGAGAAGTAATGTGAAATGTGGATTTATAGGCAGCTGTTATGTATAAATTGGATTGACAAAATCAGAAATGAGGAGGTGATATGCCACCTGGGAAAGGGAAGTCCAAGGGAAGTCATCAAAACCATGAAAAAGTGAAAGTATTTTGGACATGTGATGCGACACCCAGAAAAACACGGCATACTTCACTTAATCCTCCAAGGAAAGAGGGAAGGCAAATGAGGTCAAGGCAGAAGAACATCATGGCTTCAAAATCTAAGGGATTGGTTTGGACAAAACTCAGCAGCACTTTTTCGTGCAGCTGCTGATAAAAAATAGGATTGCCGACATGATCGCCAACGTCCGATGATGGATATGGCACAAGAAGAAGAAGAAGCCACTACCCAGTAGTACAAACCATGGTGGTGCAGTGGTTAGAACGCACTATTGCAAGCTAATTCTGTGTGTTAAAACAAAATGCCTGGGTCAGTCCTGCCTTGATTTGAACCTTAGGCAAGAATGATCCAAGACTCCATTTTTGAGAGAAAGGTGTCATTTTACTACAGTCAGGTGAAATATAGTAAAACAAAGCCATGCCTGAGATTCCCATGCCAATTCCCTAGTGAAAATCCCTTGTTTCCCACATCTGCCTTCCATTGGTCCCCTTGTGTCCTATCATATTCAAACCAGAGGTGGTATTCAGCAGGTTCTGACCAGTTCTGGAGAACTGGTAGCAGAATTTTTCAGTAGTTCAGAAAACCGGCAAATACCACCTCTGACTGGCGACTTTACAGTATCCTTCCCTTGCCACACCCACCAAGCCATGCCCACAGAACCAGTAGTAAAAAAATTTGAATCCCACCACTGATTCAAGCCATAAGTTTTCAGAATGGTTGTCCTTGGAATTCAGCTGCATTCTTCTTTTTGGCCAAGTGTCCTTGGCCAAGTGTATCTCTGGCCAGCACACAGCAGTTTGGAGAGTCTCCCCCTTCCCTCCCCCCCAAACTCCCCACTCCAGAGTTTATGGCAGGTTATCACTGAGCAAGATGAAAGCAGGAGAGAAGTGGCAGATGCCTCATCATAGACATTTATTTTATTTTTAAGTAAACTATTTTTAAATATTTTTTAAAATATATTTAAAAACCTCCATCCATGCTAAGGAACTGACAACTTGCCCTTATTAGGGATGTTAGCTAATCATTTCCTTGGGCTTTTTGAAATTAATTGAAAACCCATAAATATCTAGAAAATGTGCTTCCCTATTGCAAGTATTGGTAGAGTCTGTGCTGACTGGCAGTTGGTTCTGTATCTTTCTCTATCTGGCATCTAGCCTTTGAAATCCTCCATGTAAGGAGACTGAAACCAGATCTGGAGTCATTTATATGGAGATTGATCTGATGACACTTGTATTAAAAACCATCTTGTTCTCAAGTAACCGTGCTCGTTAATATTTGCAGTATAATTGCTCTCGTGGTTTCATAACCATTGTAATTGGTTAGAGTTGAGGCTGTCAGCTGCACTCATGCCAGATGATTAAATATTGGATATTTGTATTAAACAAATATTAACCATCAGAATGATAAGAGTGCAAATAGCAATATGTCACAATATTGTCCATTGTTTATAGCTGTGTCAATAAAGTACAAAAGGTGGGAGGTAAAGCTTCTTGGTTTGCCAGGACAAATGCTGCACTATTTCTTATTTCTATTGCCCAATGACATTGTATCAGACTGGCAAATGTTTGAGCTAAGAGGCCACAGCAGGAGGCAATGGGTATTGAAAGCCTAACTTCTTGTTTTTGGGGGGTGATACCAAGGAACCCATCTGTATGTTGCCTTCCTATTCTGTCAGTTTCAAATATTCCAACATGTTCTTCCCTGGGCTAAAGGGAAGAAGTGTCCCTTGGTTTGACAGAAAACAATCTTTTACTTGAATTCACCTTCAAAATGTTGCTTACCTTTAATTGGTTTTAATGTTCAGAATAGTTAAGATAATGAGTTTAAGGTGAAGTTTAAAGATAAATTGAGATAAATTGCATGATAAGAATTATTTCGGTAGCATTCCTTTCTGTCTTCCGGTGCATAAAATGGAAAATGCAAGTTCACAAGAAGCCCAAAGCAGATTATGAAGAGCATAGCAACTATCACCACCATTGCCCCATTATTGCCAGTGGAGAATTAATAATCAAAAGGATGCCACTAAAAATAAAATTACTAGTTTGTAATATGGATGTATCCATTTCCTCTAGAACTTTAGTTTAGCTTTCCTGGTTTATGAAAGTTATGTGTTGCAAGATTGTTCTAATTATTGCTATGGGATTTGATAGTTTTTCCTTTTTATAATCTTTAATGGCATTTTAAAACATTGAAACAGAGAACATCCATTTGCTCCTATAGATATTTTTTTTATACATGTCATTACAACCTGATCATCGTGATGAAAACAGTCAAATTCTTCATTGTACTTCATAGCCTTTTCCAGATGCCCATGAAAAGTATCCAAAACTGTCAAAGAGATTACCATCCATTGTGGTAGAGCCATCTGAGATGGGGGATGTTGAAAGTGGAGAGCTTCGTTGGCCGCCAGAGGATCTGAAATCAATGGAAGACAAGAAGGCTCTTGCTGCACAGAGATCCTGTGCTCAGCAACACCAGATGGACCTTGAAAGTATGAACATTTTAATTAACTTTTACTGGGGAAACATGTTAAAAAGAGTGTGACATTGCCTGTACTGGCACACCATAATAAAAAAAAAAATGTTGAACTAGTGTATTCTTATTCAAGAATACACCAGTTCAAGCATAGGCAGACCTGGTCTTCAAATCCCATTAGATCAGCCTAGTTCATGTTAAATGACAAGGGATAAGTGTAAGCTAAACATCTGGCCACCAAGCTACCTGTTTTTTTGACAGAGCACCATGATAGGGACAATCCTGGTCTCTTCCAAGACCGTGCACCCTTTCCTCCTCCAGTTTAACCTTTCAGAAATTTCAGCTTCCATTTACAATTATTCCAACCAATTGTATCATCTAGTATAATTATTTGAGATAAAGTAACTTCATATATCATGTGGCTTTAACAAGCTGTGGTTAGGTTAATCATAATTTCTCTAACACAGGAACAATTGTTTCTCTCCAGGTGCTGCACCACACCAAGACATAGGAGATAGTACAAAATCCAGTGAAAGCAGAACTGAGGATGACTAAGTAACTTCATTCAACAAACTGAAGCTGTGGTGGGACCCTCATTGGAAAGCTGGCACATTCCGAAGGCTTGTCAACATGCTCTATTTTAAAACCATAGAAGGTTTTAATTTTAGTTCTATTATTAGGTTAGTACACGGCAAGAAATTTAGGGGCTTTAGAACTGCTTCTTTTCAGGCTGGAATTCATATCATTTCAATTTCCTTTGAGGAAAAACAGAGCACATTAGGTAGTTCTTCCTGGTTCCTTTTATTAATGCCACAAAGGAAAAAATAGAAGCAAAACTATTCATATCAAACACCAAAAAAATTTTTTAATCAATTGCAATTAGCACTTGTAAGTGAAATTGCCTCTTAAAGATAAAAGAGCTATCTGGTATTGATACCAAGACACAGGGTTTGTTTGCCATAGAATATATTAAATCAATTAAACCTCTCTTGTTTTAGCCATTTAAAACTAGCACTGTGATATTATGGATAATAGATGTAATATAATGTCACCTTCTAACTTTGTACCTTTTTTTGTATAGAAATGCAAGTTTCACTTTTAAATCTGGATTAAATGGAGAATTTAGGACTGCCTTTTTGTGATGCACAGCAAGGATCTTTACTTATCCCTTATCTCTTTTTCTGTGCAAATTCCAGTGAACCAGCCTTTTATTAGCACTGTATTTGAGAGAAAATGAGTTAACATTTAAGGAATTCTTTACCAGTGTACATTTTGAATGGAAATAGCTGTTCATTATTTGTGAACCGTGTTAGTTTTGTGTAACTTCAGCCGCCTTTTCTATTGTTTTTGCAAACAGTTTGTGACCCAAATGCTAACCTGGTTTAACTGGCTTGTTTCGAAAGGGAAAAAGAGAACACTGCTTATGTCATGGCTGTTTTAGGACATTTCCAATGCATTTGTATATAGACTCTGCTGAAATGTTTATCTATAATTTTGGATCAAAGACTAGACAGAAATGGCCAGGACAGACGTAAGATGCATTTTCTATGTAATTAACGATGCCCCACAGACCATCTGCTTTCTATGGATTATTTAATCTATTGTAGGCTTTTGCGCAGGGAGATTCTTTAGTGGAACCTCACAGTAGCAGTGAATAGGCTAAACTGATATAGCAGTTATTCCCAAGAATGCTTCCCAATGCTTTAACTTCGATGTGGTCACCAAAATACAGCCTCCAGAATTGGATAGAAGTCATGACAAAGTGATATGATAAAGCAAAGAGATATTTGTATGGTGATTTCAAGATTAACTCTACTTGACTTGATTTTTGAATTTTGATGTCTTAGGGTCAGTTTTCACTATTTTAGCACAAAGAAAGTTTTCGTTCTGTAAGTAGTTACATTGAAATAAAGCTCTCCAGGGAGATAAGATACTAAAGTACATTTTATGTGTATGTGGTAATAATCAAAGCTCAACCTATTAAAACAATATTGGAAAGGGTGGGAATGATACATTTTCACTCATGACTGATATAAATAATCATTATTATTATGAGCATCAGCCTTAATGTGTTTGTACACCAGCTAAGGAAATTTGTAGAAGTATTCAATTTTTTAAATTTTGTTTTCTTAATATAGGAGTCCATGCTTTATTTTAAAAGTGTCTACCAATCTTAGATTAACAGATTGAAGTCTGTGTGGGCATAAAAAGTTCTAATAATTTCCCAAATTCTATTTATTACTTTCAAACAAGATTTGTTATTTATTGAAACTAGCAAAACAGCAGCTATCCATATGCCATGCTTAACATTAGGAAAAAGCTAAAATCCTGAGCGGGAGAAAAATGTTCTCCATACAAAAATTACAAGGATACCTATAGGAAGGGAGTCAAAAAAAAGTCAAGATGGCAGCCACAAACATGGAATTGAAGTGTCACCTGTGACACACATAAAAAAGAAGCAGGCTTTGATTGCAAGATTGTGGCAGCCATTTTGACATTTTTGTTTATTTTATTTATTGGCCAAATTTATATGGCTGCCTATCTCAGAAGTGGCTCTGACATACAACAGTCAAACAAAACAATGATATAAAATTATAATAATAAAACTATAAACAACCATTATTAAAATATGATTAAAAATTAAAATATGTAAATCACAAAGTACAGAGAGAGTCTAAATATAAACCACAATAGGGGAGCCATCTTAGAATGTCACTGGTTTCCTGGAACCCCACACCTGGTGAGACAACTTCTGGAATATCAACATGATGGAAGACATGCAAAACAGATGCTCTACATTTTTTTTCTTTAGATATGTAATCCTTATTGGTGAACCTTCTATCAGAGCTCACTGTGATCTCCTCATAGAAATCCTCCCCTTCCTCTATGTTGCTGCAATGAGTACTATATTATTCCAAAGAGCTTCACTCATAAATGCTAGGTAGTGGTGATTAAAGGAATAGAGTGTGTATGCCTGTGTGGTGTATTTGTGTGGGTGTGAATCACGTTATGAAAAGAAGGAGCTTTTTATACAAAATTAAGGATTGGTCTAGAAATATGTGTTTGTAGGAAATTATAGAGGTGGCCACAGAGAAGGAATGTGGCATTTAGCAAAACATGAATTTAGTCCCAGAAAGGAATAAAATGTTAGAAAGAAATTTAAACTAATTCTGCCTTAACTCCCTTTAGTATAAGAAAGGAAGGGAAAAACAATTTCAGCCTTTCAGGATTGATAGGTCAGGTCAGGAAACAGATACCACAAGAAATACTAGAATACTACTTGACTGGTATAGACTATAGTACAGTAGCCGGATCTTGAAAGCTTCTTCCTTTTCTGGGCTTCATTCGTGTTAACTAATTGAGGTGTTCCTTTTCCAAGGTCATCTCTGCAGCTCTCACCAGCATAACAGGAAAGATTTTATAGTAGTCTGTTCTTTAGAGGGATAAAGTAGCCTTTTGCTAAATTAAAACCTGTGAAATTTTATAAGGGGAACTCTATGTTTATGGAGTAAAACTGAAGCTTTTCCACTTATTCACTCACCCTACTTCTTCTATATCTCCCCACTTACAATGCTTGAAAAATAAAAATGAAAACAGGTACATATTCTCTCTTGTTCCATAAAACTGTCCTAAATGTATATCTACTATTTTCAAAAAGAGATAATTTAAATTTGATTATAAACTTCCACTGTTATGATTGCTCTTCACATCATATACCAGTCTCACTTCTAAAATGAGTAACAATTCCAAATTCTATTATAATGAATGAAACTGGTTGGGTTTGGTCCCAAAATGGGATTCGTAACCTTGAAATTTTCTTTTTAGGATCCTTTTCACTGCATGAGAATCACTACCGGTATAATGAAAAATATTTTAATAAGATTGTTCTATATATATATTATTAGTAATCAAATTTTAATAAATTTATTTAAAAACTTGAGCAATAGTCACAGTAAGGTAGAAGTATACAACTTTTTCTTAGACAAAGTAAGCAGTTTATGTAGAAAAGGTAATTCATTATTTTGGGCACCAGGTGGCTGGTACTGGTTCCATCATATAGGGTTAGAGAGGTTATGTCTCCAATATAGGACAAGGGAGTTAACCTGGTTTAATGGTTAATACATTAAAGTAGAAACCAAGAGTTCCACCTTAGGCACAAAGCCACCTTAAGCCAGTCACTCTCTCTCAGCCTTACCACTTCCAAAAAACCTTGCCAAGAAAACTGCAGGGACTTATCCGGGCAGTTACCAAGAACCAGCATTGACTAGAAGGCACAAAAATAAAATAAAATAATTAAAATGGATAGAATGTGTCCTGTTATGATGAACTTTATTTAAAAAAAAAAATTGAAGTCATAATCTTGTCACCAAGTGAACTTTTTGTTGACTGACTTAAAGTTAGCCCACTCCAGCTCTAGTGAAAAATAAAATCAAACTTAGAAGTCATAAACCCCATTCAGGTATCTAGCAATTATCTCTTACAGTCTGCCAGGTGCTTTGAATACAAATTGTGCAGAATATGGTAACTAACTTCAGAAGGATGGAAGGCTGAGTCAACTTTGAGCCTGACAAGATCAAACTGCTGGCAGTCAGCAGAATTAGCCTGCAATACTGCATTCTAACCACTGCGCCACCTGCTCCTATCTGATCCTTAGCTCAAATTAGGTTGTGAGCATGGTATTTCCAAGAAAATCCAGCAAGGTTTCACTCAAAAGTGAATATATGTAGGAATATATTCCAGTGGTTCTCAACAGGACTTAATGTAGTCTTGATAAAGAGCTGAATATATATTTCAGGATACTTTTCTTAAAAGCTGGATGACAATCCTCCAGCATTTTTCATCTGCCTCCTTTTATCTCCAAAGCCACCAGCATCATTTTAGAGCCCACATTCAGGCTATTGTGTATAGGCTCAGATTGCATTGTGCAGCTCTAAGTGTCTTCAAGGTGACACAATTTATACGGAATGCTAGGATATAGGCTGATACAATTAAATTGAATGGTGAGACATTTGGCACAGCAGAAGGAAGCATTTCTTTGTACAGTGCATAGTTAAGCTGCAGACTGCATGACTCAAAGATCTGGAAATGATGTTTAACTTGGACATATTTAAAAAAGGAATTAGACAAATTCATGGAGAACAGGGTAACAAATGTTGACTAATCATGATGGCTATATAATCATCAGAATCGGAGGCAGAGCATTTTTCAATACCAGTTGCTTAAGAGCATATATGAGAGGGTAATATTTTGTCCATGCCTTGATTGTGGATTAATCATAAACACCTCCATGGTTACTGTAGGAACATGCTTCTGATCAAGATAGACTGTTGGTTTGCTCCAGCTTCGCTTTTCTGATTGTATGCTAAATGTAAATGTTTTAATTACATTTTCTTAAGTAACATTTAATTTCAAGAGAGGTAAATTTTATAAATTAATGAGAAAGGAAAGTGAGAAAACTGTTTCAGGAATACAAATGTATTCAATGGTGCATAGCCCCATATATGACATTATTTTATCTGTGTATAACAGTATTGTCCTGCCTACTAAACTTAATTGATTGTTTCTGTATTTCCTTTGTTTTGGATGAAATGCTTTGTAGGAAGAGGGAAACACTCAGAATAGTTGGTCATATTTTTGTAGACTATTAAAAACAAGATATGGATAAAGGTTTTATGGAATATAATATATTGTTGGATTCTGCACCTTTGAAACTTTGATTTTTTTTGTAAATTGCCATCTATGTATAAATTCCAATAATGCTATGTCTTGCAGATGTAATTAAATCAATTAAAAGCCTACATGGACCTAATTTGGTAAGCTAATATATCAAATATTTATTTTAAATTGTGTTTTCCAATTTAACAAGCAAAGCTTCCTCTACCCTCAAAAGCTATATTGGTGAAAATATAAGAAACCTATAGCATTCCTGTAATAAAGGTCAGGGATGGAAAGCAGGTAGTTTAAATATATAGACATATACTATTTTCATTCAGTTCTGCCAGCAGATACTCTCCTAAAACATTTTTGACTGATGAGGAAAATATTTACAGCCCAACATAGATTATTTTTATAAAATAATACAGCTATAACAGTGAAAAACAAATGTTCTTGCAGATTAAATCATGGGAGATAAGAGAAGGTCATTACTTTTCAATATGGAATGGCTCTTGTTACATGCAAATTTATTTATTTATTTATTTATTTATTTATTTATTTATTGTTTGTTTGTTTGTTTGTTTGTTTTAAATTGATATGCTGTCCATTCCACTATCCAAAGCAACTTTGGTTAGACTAGATAAAACAGCAGACTAGATAAAATGTTGTTGAGTTCTACATGCTTTCTTTTATTCCTGTAGGGTTTTTAAATGAAAGAACACAGCAGAAGTTTTAGAAAACCAGAGGAAGATTACAAGTGGAAATTATATTGTTTGCCCTTCCCCCACATTATTCTTCCTGAATGAGGCAGGGCAATTTGAAACAAACATCTGATCTGGACTCCATCACAGAAACAGAAGGCTCACATAAATAATATGATTAATACAGAATGAGTGTTATTTAACTTTTTATTTCCAGGATTCAGGTAATGTGGGCGGCTGTATAGCCATAAAAAAATGATACTATCTAGGCACAAGAAGGCAGTTTGGGGGAATCTCAGGAAGGAAGGAAAGAAGGAAGGAAGGGAGGGAGGGTGGGTGGAAGGAAGGAAGGAAGGAAGGAAGGAAGGAAGGAAGGAAGGAAGGAAGGAAGGAAGGAAGGAAGGAAGGAAG